CACGCATGCACACACACACACAGCTATACTGCATTTTACTTCAAATATATCATTGAAATTGATTTTCTTTTTCCTTTCTAAATGTGGTCATTAGGACATGAGTGTGTGTGTGCACATGCATGCAAATATTGGTCCTGGGGCTTGAATTCAGGGCCTGGATGCTGTCCCTTTGCTTTTTCGCTCAAGGCTGGTGCTCTGTTTCATGAGCCATACCTCCATTTCTGGTATTTTGGTGGTTAATTGGAGATGAGTCTCCTGGAAAGCCGGGTGCTGGTGGCTCACGCCTGTAATCCTAGCAACTCAGGAGTCTGAGATCTGAGGATTGTAGTTCAAAGCCAGCCTGGGCAGGAAAGGCCAGGAGACTCTTATCTCCAATCAACCACCAGAAACTGGAAGTGGTGCTGTGGCTCAAGTGGTAGAGTACTAGCCTTGAGCACCCAGGCCCAGAGTTCAAGCCCCATGATGGGAGGCTGAGGGTGGGGGGGAGAGTGTCTTGGACTTTCCTGTCAAACTTAGATTCTCAGAATTCAGCTTCCTGATTACCTAAGATTACAGGTGAGAGCCACTGGTGTCCAGCTCTCCCTCCCTCTCTCCTTCCCTTATCTCCTCCCTTCTTCCCCTCCCCTTCTCCCCCCTTCCCTTCCTTTCCATTTCCTCCTCCTTTTCCTCCTCTTCCTCCTCCTCCTCTCCTTTCTTGCAGTCTTCCATTCTTAGTGCCAAGCAGGCACTCTACAACTTGAGCCACACTGTGTCCTAGTCTCTAGCCTTGGAGTAAGATCTCCTATTTCTCCCTTCTGAGTAGCTAGAACTACAGGCATGTACCACCATAAGTCTTATCTTCCTCTCTCCCTCCCTCCTTCCCCTTCCTTCCTTCCTTCTTTCCTTTCCTTCCTCCCTCTCTCCCTCTCCCTCCCTCCCTTTCCTCTCTCTCTCCCCCTCTCTCCCCCCTCTCCTTCTCTCTGTCTTCTCCTTTCTTTCTCTCATTATATAGTCCAGGCTGGATTAGAACCTTCTATGCTGCTCAGTCTGTCTTCTGATTCACATCCTTCTATCTTTACTTCCAAATGCTGGGATTACAGGCATGCACTACCACTCCTGCTTTACTTTTTTTTTTTTTAAATAAACTACCCAGTCTCTGTATGTATATGTGTATGTGTGTGTGTGTGGTCTCACACACATGTGTGCATGTGTGCTGTGTGTAGACATGTAGTCTATGTTGTTGTGCTGGTTTTCAACCCCTGGGCTCAAGTGACCTTCTGCGTCTCCGTCTGCCTCTCACGCAGCTGAAACTTTAAGGATGTAACAGCACCTCAGTCAGTCGCACTGTTATACTTGCACACACACAGCTCCTTTTGCTTGTTTTTAACATCTTTCAAAATATGACTCATGCTTGTATCATACGTGCGGTCCCCAGAAAGCAGGTTTTCTGACGCAGGATATGGGCAAGACAATACCTGGGGTCGGCTTCAGCCAGGAGTGAGCCAGCAGAGCTGCAAGCCATGGTGACAGAACCTCTTCTCACACTCTTGGGGAGCTGGGAGGACTGTGCTCCTGGGCGGATCATGTTCCTGGAGGACCGAGGACCATGCTCTTGGGAGGACTGTGTTCCTAGAGGACTGTGCTCCTGGAGGACCGTGCTCTGGGAGGACTGTGTTTCTAGAGGGCCATGCTCATAGGAGGACTGTGCTCTGGGAGGACTGTGTTCCTGGGAGATCATGTTCTTGGAGGACTGTGCTCCTGGTTGGAGGATCATGTTCTTGGAGGACCAAGTTCCTGGGAGGATTCTATTCCTGGAGGACTGTATTCTTGGAGGACTGTACTTCTGGAGGCATTTGGACAATACTTAGCAGCGTCCAAGTCTAACCACCGTGCACTGCTCAGACCCACCAATAACTTCCTGGACATACCTTCTGGGGGAACTACTAGGGTGGAGTGGATCCCACCTCACAGGTGTCAAATGTTGACTTCTCCTCCAGGCTTTTGTGGTATGGTGATCTGGCCCTCGTCTCCAAGCCTGTGGTCACTGCACCCCTACCCATCATTATGAAGCTGGAACAGAGATAGCTGCATGGACACATATGTACAGCTTTACCCTCCAGCTCTACCTTCTGCTTTGATTATCCTGTTGCTAGGACCCCTCCTCCAGCTTTCCTGGGTCTCAGCTTGAGACTCTGATCCCCTTCCTTTCTCTTTCCTTTTTTATTCTCCTTTTCTTTCATTTTATTCCCCTTTCCTTCCTTCCTTCCTTCCTTCCTTCCTTCCTTCCTTCCTTCCTTCCTCTCTCTCTCTCTCTTTCTTTCTTTCCCAGTCCTGGGGCTTGTAATCAGGGCCTGGACACTGTCCCTGAGCCTCTTCAGCTCAAGAATAGCATTCTACCACTTGAGCCACAGCACCACTTCTGGCTTTTTCTGTGTATGTGGTACTGAGGAATCAAACCAAGGGCTTCATGCATGCTAGGCAACCACTAAGACACAATCTCAGCCCCCTTTCCTTTTCCCTTTCTCTATCCTCCCTCTCTTTATTAGTATTGGGGTTTGAGCTCAAAGCTTCATACTTACTAGGCCGTTGCTCTCCTGCTGAGCTAGTTATTATTTTGAGATTAGGGTCTTGCTTTCTGCTCCGATGAATATCAGGCCCATGATCTACCTATTTTAGGCTTCTTGTCATAGCCATGATAACATGTAAGAAAACACATCGAGCTCTCAGTTGAGAAAGTCCTGCAAACTCTTCTACCCTGGCTGGCTTCAAACCGGAATCTTCCTAATCTCAGCCTCTGGAGTAGCTGGGATTACAGATGGGAACCACTGGTGTCCAGCTCCTTTTTGCTCTAGTAATTTTTTGAATAGGGTCTCGAGGTTTTGCCCTGGCTGACCTAGGGACTACGTTCCTATTTATGTCTCCCCGGTAGCTAGGATAACAGACAAGCACTACCAAACTCAGCTTGTTGGTTTTGGTGTCAGGCAAACTTATTTTTGCTTTGACTGATCTTAAATCTTAATCCTCCCCATCTCCACCTTTGGAGTACCTGGGATTACAGACGTGAGTCATCTCGCCTGGCTCTGGGTGTTACTTACTTTTTATTTGAAAGTCATTTCATGCTTACAGAATAATTGCAAGAATACTTGTACTAAAAAAAAAATAAGGCCAGCACAAATCCATTCCTACAGTCAGCTAATAACATTTTAACATACTTGGTTTTTTACCATTTTTTCTTTCATACATGCAGAATGTATGTTTTAGCTGGGCACTGGTGGCTCATACCTTAATCCTAGCTACTTAGGTGGCTGAGATCTGAGGATGGTTAGAAGCCAGCTGAGGCAGGAAAGTCTATTAAGAATTGAATCTCCAATTAGCCACCAAAAAGGCAGGGGTGGAGCTGTGGTTCAAGTGGTAGTGTCAGTATTGAGTGAAAAGCCTAAAAGAGGATTGGTCTGGCTCTGAGTTCAAGCCCCAGCATTGGCACACACAAAAAATGTTTTTCTGAACTATTTGAGAATAAGCTACCTACACACAACATTACCATTAGACATTAGCGTGTACATTCAAATAAGAATATTTTCTGAGAACCACAGGATGGTTATTGATTTTTGGCAAACTTCACGCTGAGCCAAGACTTTAATCAACATCTAAATTCCAGTTTTGTTGACTTGACCAGGACACTTTCTTTTTTTTTTTTGGTGGCATTAAGAGTTTTGAAGTAAGTGGGGCTGTGGCTCAAAGTGGTAGAGCCATAGCCTTGAGCACAAAAGCTCACAGGCAGTGCCCAGGCCCTAAGTTCAAGCCCCATGATTGATCCCCCAAAAAGTTTTGAAGTTAGGAGATATTACTATCAGGAGAGGTAAACCTCAGCTGCATAAATGACTTTGTTAAAGTAAACCAATGTTTCTTTTTCTTAAGATGGTCTTAAGGTATGCCCCGTTCATTGTGTTGCTTTCGAAAGCCATATTGAAAGAACACCAAAGGATTGTTGCTATTAAAAAAATTTTTTTTGAAGAACAGTCCGTGTGTGTGCGTGTGTGTGCGTGCTGGCACTGTTTAAACTCGGGGACTGTGCGTGTGGTGTGCGCGCGCGTGTGTGCATGTGCGCGTGTGTGTGTGCGTGCTGGCACTGGTGTTTAAACTCAGGGCCTCTGCGTGTGTGTGCGTGCGCGTGTGTGTGTGCGTGCTGGCACTGGTGTTTAAACTCAGGGCCTCTGCGTGTGTGTGCGTGCGCGTGTGTGCGCGTGTGTGTGTGCGTGCTGGCACTGGTGTTTAAACTCAGGGCCTCTGCGTGTGTGTGCGTGCGTGTGTGTGTGTGCGTGCTGGCACTGGTGTTTAAACTCAGGGCCTCTGCGTGTGTGTGCGTGCGCGTGTGTATGTGTGCGTGCTGGCACTGGTGTTTAAACTCAGGGCCTCTGCGTGTGGTGTGTGCGTGCGCGCGCGTGTGTGCATGTGCGTGTGTGCGTGCTGGCACTGTGTTTAAACTCAGGGCCTGGGCGCTGTCCCTTACGCGTTTCCATTCAAGGCTCGCGCTCTCCCACTCGAGCCACAGCTCCGCTTCTGGCTTTTTTGGGTGGTTAACTGGAGATTGGAGTCTCCCAGACTTTCCTACCGCGGATGGCTTCGCACTGCGATCCTCAGATCTCAGCCCCCCTGGGTGGGTGGGACTGCAGGCGTCAGCACCGGAGCCCGGCTTCTCCGCACCTTCACCATGGCCCAGGACCAGGTGCCCCCTGAGCAGGTGAGCTGTCAGGAGTTTGCATTTTTTATTTCAATCAACGACATCTTTCTCCCGCCATGGCCAGGCTCAGGGTAGGCCCATCACAGGCACCACCCGGCCGCCACGGAGGACGCCGGAAGAGCGGCGCCGACCGACTGTGGAACTTGGCGCCCCGCCCAGCCGCCTCGCGCACCTACTAAGCGCCGCTCGCTGTCCCCGCCCACTTCCCGCCCAAGACCCGCCTTCAAGGGCTACAGCCAATGAGCGCACGGCCCCGCATCCGGGGATCCCGGCGCGGCCACCGCCTCCCGCGCACACACGGCCATGGCGGAGGTGAGTGAGCGGGCCGGGGGAGCCGGCCCCCCGCCCCGCGCCCACGTCCTCGCCGCTGGGGTCGGTCTTGCTGGGTCCCGGGGCGAAGACCTCCGCTCTGGAGCTCTATGCTCGGACTGGGCGGGGTCCTCGTCCCTCCAGGTCCTTAGGGGCGCGGGGCTTCGTCAGCGGCCGCCCCCG